CGGAACGCGCACGCGCCTCGCAGCCATTCCCCACGGCATGGCGGGTTTCGGGGCCGCCGTGGACGACCTTAGGAGGCGAGCCGGCGAGCATCAGGAGCACTCGGGCGCCCGCAACCAGCCCCGGGGCGCGAAGTGGGCGCGAAGTGATGATTTCCAAGTTTTTGCGTGGGTTGCGGAAGCCCCACAAGGGCGCGCATCATCAGCATCAGCGGGGTCCGGCGGAGGGCGGATGCGGGCTACATGGAGGGCCGACGAGGGCTAAGAGCGTAAGATCGCCCACAAGTTGTGTATTTCGGGCCTACGTTGCACTTTTGTTCCGGTAAATTCAAACTCAAGACGTTCGTCCACATGCAAATGAGAATGAAGGAAGCTTCTAAAGGCAGTCCATGAATGTATAAATATACCTCGGGCGCCCGCAACCAGCCCCGGGGCGCGAAGTGGGCGCGAAGTGATGATTTCCAAGTTTTTGCGTGGGTTGCGGAAGCCCCACAAGGGCGCGCATCATCAGCATCAGCGGGGTCCGGCGGAGGGCGGATGCGGGCTACATGGAGGGCCGACGAGGGCTAAGAGCGTAAGATCGCCCACAAGTTGTGTATTTCGGGCCTACGTTGCACTTTTGTTCCGGTAAATTCAAACTCAAGACGTTCGTCCACATGCAAATGAGAATGAAGGAAGCTTCTAAAGGCAGTCCTGAATGTATAAATATACCACGTGGAAGGGCTTTCAACAATTGACCCACTGGCATCATTTCAAGGGCGCTTTCTCGTTGACGGTTTCCTTGAAGCTTCGGGTGTAGGGGCATCAGTGTTGCAGGCTCCGGAATTGTGAATTAGGCTAGTCGGCTCCCTGTTTTGATTTTTGGAGAGGGGGTTAGGGTTTGGGGTTTAGGGTTTGGGACTTGCCACCTGGCATTTTGGCGCAGAGAGGCCGTCACATCGCGAAGGTAGGACGTCTTGTCCACCACGAAGCCGAAAGCAATCACGAGACCACGGGGACGGACACTGATTGCAGCTAGAGTCGATCGGATCTTCTTGTGAGATTCGGGCATGTGTGTCTTGAGGCTTCAACAATTGGAGCTTTTCTGCTCCTTGTTTGCAGGGTGTGGGAAGCGGGTTGTGACGACGGCAGAAAAATTTGAATAGGGTCATACGCCCAAGTCACAAGGGTTTAAGCCTTAGGATTTTGTGTTTCAGATTGAGGCTTGTCGGGCTTGGGGTCTAAAAGGCAACGCCCGAAGCCCTAGACTCCAAAACGCCGGGAAGTAATGTAGAGGCCCACATAATTACCAATAAATACTATTTTCGGGGTTCCCTATTCTAATTAGTCTAATGTATACTGGCCCTAAACCATCTTCTCCTCATTTAGGCCACTATATTGAGAATGAATTCCAGAGTGAAGAAAACTGCCGAGCTTCGCTGCCGCTGCTTCGCTTGCGGCTTCTTTGGGCTTCTTGAGGGTTTAGGGGTTCAGGGTTCAGGGTTTATAAGGCGGGCTAGGCACGTCTTTGCCGGTGTGGGGTGTGCAAACTGCACAAATCAATTTTTTGTGCGCAGACGTCGCAGTAGCTGCAGTTGTCTGCCGTGGCACACTGCCTGCACCAGCTGCACATGCGCGTCTCTTGGGCCATGCCTCGTTGTCGATTCCAGCATATATCACATTGTCGAAGTTCGCAGGTACACGAAACAGGACGGTCTTATTGTAAATGCAGCTTACCTGGACCTACCCTGTATTATAACCTTACAGCTGTTTGAGGGTACCAGGAGGGTCCTAGTCAAATGCTTGTTCCTGATGCATCTCTGCACCCAGGGACTAGACATGCACACAGCAAGCCCCGCAGTCGAATCGCAGAAAGCTTCCAAGAAAGGTCGGTCGACGTCAAGGGGCGCACTTAAGGGGCGCACTTATAGAGCGCATTTTGGCTATAAGTCGGAACCAATATATATCAATTTCGTTTGTTTCCGTTTCGACAGATGTTTTTTGGCGATCGTCTCGGATTGGATTATAATATTTGGAGACTGACTGGCATGCATACAGGTCAGTTCTGTTATCAACTTCGTTTTTTCCGTTTCGACAGATGTTTCTTGGCGATCGTCTCGGATTTCGACGGACTGGCATGCATGCACGTCAGTTCTGCTGCTCGTGAGATGGATGCACAAACTCGACGCACCGTAGATTTTAAAGGCTCGAAAATTTAAACAGCACGCATGGAGTAGCAGCCCGAAACCTGAACCGGTCATTTCTTTACCATGGCACTCATGACGGCATTCACTCGATCTGCATATATGTATGTGTTAATAGATCAGCCCAAACCCCAGGCTATACGTGAAATTGCAGCTCGGCCTTAGGCCGCGAAATTCCGTGAAATTGCAGCTCGGCCCGTTACATTCCGTGAAATTCCGCGAAATTCCGTGAAATTGCAGCTCGGCTTGTAAGCTAGCTAGCACTTATAAGGGCAGCGAAAGTCCGTGAAATTGCAGCTCGGCCCGTTATATTGCAGCTCCGCACAGGGCCGCGAAATTCCGTGAAATTGCAGCTCGGGTTACATACCGCGACATTTCTGGCAGCTCAGCTATAGCACGGCCGCGAAATTCCGTGAAATTACAGCTCGGCCAGTTATATATTGCAGCTCCGGGCCGCGAAATTCCGCGAAACTCGAGGCCGTGAAATTGCAGCTCGGCCCGTTAAATACATTGCAGCTCAGCACTTATAAGGGCCGCGAAATTCCGTGAAATTGCAGCTCGGCTATATTATAAGGGCCGCGAAATTCCGTGAAATTGCAGCTCGGCAGCCTTTTGGGCGTGAAATTGCGTGAAATTCATGTGGCCGGCAAATGCAACCCTGAAAATCCCTGGGTTTTTCGAGATCGTCAAAAACCAGTGGGCGTGAAATTGCGTGAAATTGCGTGAAATTCACTACATAGAGCGCTCTATACGACCGACTGGGCGTGAAATTGCGTGAAGTTCAAAAACATACATTTTTGTAATTTTTTTCCAAATATACCTCAAAAGTCCTGGGTGTGAACTTGCCACGTTCATGTCTGCTCTGAGGCCGGGCCGACCTCATGCAAGAATGTCCATGACAGACACAGAAGACCCTGCTCTTAAGCAGAAACTGAAGGGGTGCACCACTTATGGCTGCAATCCTCTCGGACTAGAAGCTTCACCCGCCATGTTCCGATGAAAATATGCAGCGCGTGCGATCGGCAAAAGGGCGGAGCCAGGCTAAAAGGTTCAGGGTTTAGGGTTTGGGGTGGGTTTAGGCTTAAGGGTTTAGGGTTTAGGCTGAAGTGTTTCGGGTTGAGGGTTGAGGCTTGACGGTTTAGGGTTTAGGATTGGGTTTAGGGCTTACGCCAGGCTTTTTGGGGTCGCAAGTTCGATGCATGTCCCGCTACTACAGTTGTTTCCTCGATGAGGATCTCGTCGGCAAGTGCAAGCAATTCGCCTGTACATGCATGCATAATTTCATCTCGCGCATATATGTAATTCGCACACAAGATTTCACGCATGATTTCACGCATCAGGTTTGCCTTTTGATCTGAGGCGGATCGTCGAGCACTCGCATCCTCGCACCATGAGCTTGCGGGCCTTGCAGCATTACTGCCTGCTAACCGCCCTCCGTTGGGTCGGAACCGACATGTCGTGAGTGCTGCGAGGAAAAGTCTGCAGCCGACGTACTGCTCTGTGAGTGTTCGTATACATATTGGCACGCATGTGTTCGTCGTTGTCGTATATCGAGCGGGATCTTTTGCATCTCGCCAGTCATGCTTTCTGAAAATTTGTAAGCCTGCTTGTCGAGTCATCTGGCTTGGTCGTCCGTTTAAGTATTTAAACTTCACTCAAATCCAATTTTTCCTGGTTGTTGTCAAAACAAATCCAATCGAGTTTGTCTTTATTCGGTTTTCGTCACGTATTTCACGCAACTCGACAAATCTGTTTATATATCGTCCAAAACCGAAAAATGCTCCATACGGTCGTTTGACGCAAAGAGCGCTTTATGATGTCGAACGGCCTTTCTTGGTTATGTTACCTGTAGTTACCTGTAGGCATACCTAACCCCCCCTCCCCAATAAACAATAGAAAGAAAAGTCAGTAAAACAATAGCCCCAACTCCTAGAAGAGTGCCATTCTTCTGCTTACGTTCAGGGTCCAAACAGGATCCTAAACGCAAACCCTGGCAATTGGCCTATGTCTTTCTCCTCATCTTGAGTTGCGGCTTTGGCAACGCTCCTTCCTCCAGGGTCTAGGGTTTAGGGTGCAGGTTGGAAAGCTTGAGACGTCAGGGGCTGGGGATGTTTAGAGATTATAGGGTTGAGGATTTCGGAACCCAGTCTGACAGGTCCAGTTGCGAAGGTAGCTTCAATCAAAGGTTTTTTTTTACCATCCGCAAAACAATTTACCCAGCTCCGGAACATGACTTGGCTTGTTTCTGGGTGCTTGCATGCTGAATTGTCGCAACATCGAAACCCCCAAAAAACACACTTCATACTGAATTCATGCGATATTACTTGCAAACAAGGTTGCAAGCACCATCCCAGCGTCACGGCTACGGTTCGCGACAGACCTGGGCAGGGGAAGTAATAGAGCGAAGGCAAGTGCCAACATGTGCGGTAGGCTTTCACGTGCAGTCACAACAAGTTGCACGCGACTTTGGAATGCACACCCGAATCATTTGACGGAGCGTGATGCTGAACTAAACCCCGAGCTGGGGCTTGTATCTACATGCTCGCTTCCGCGGTTTCAATTCTACTTCCCAGTTCTCGCGTTAGGCTAACGTGCTGGAAACCACACCTCCATAGTGGCGGGCTGCGACCACCGCTCGGAGTGCCCCAGCGTCGCCGGCCGGTGCTGCGTTGGACCTCTGGAGCGTTTCGATTGCTTTTAAAGCTTCGCGTGCTAAGCATGTCAGCACATGACATCCAAGCAAACACGACTTTCAATAGCTAACTCGTGCCAAAAGTCTCACGCCTGCTCTTAACTTCAACCCGGCCAGACCCGGCCAGCTTACTGGTCTGTGATTTCTTGTGGTGGCGCTTCGGCTTGCCCTTCCAGGCACGTTGTGCATGTCCATACGGGCAGACGTGTGACATGATATTTGCCATTCACGGGCCTAGCGCGGCCACAGCCCACACACGGCGGATAGCCGCAACTTCGGCATCTTTGATTCTTGGGCACGTTGCTGCCGCGGCCGCAGAATTGGCAGGGCCGCTTTTTGCAGTTTCGGCAAATGTTCGCATTTACTGAAAAAAGTTCCCGAGGCAACGTGCTCTTGCAGGTTGGGCAAGTTCGTAGCTTTTGTTCCGGCTTGGCACTTGTTACGTCTATGCAGAAAGCGCACACCAGCTTGTCCAGCCGTCCCTGGTTCTTGGCTTGCCAGTCGATCGCAGAAAACATCCTTTGCGATCGCAGCTCGCCGCAGCTGCTACAGGTGCGATGCTGCGTGCTGGCTTTCTGAGCATGCAGTAGACACGTGGCTCTTTGCAGACATCGTTGCGCGCGCATGCGCTGCAGCGCCACGGGCTCGAAAGCAGTGAGTACGCGTCGCACGTCTTTGCCGGTCTGGCGTGTGCAAACTGCACAAACCAATTTTTTTTGTGCGCAGACGTCGCAGTAGCTGCAGTTGTCCGCCGTGGCGCACTGCCTGCACCAGCTGCACATGCGCGCCTCTTGGGCCATGCCTCGTTGTCGATTCCAACATACATCACATCGTCGCTGCATTCCTTGAAGTAAAATCGTTTTGTCGCTCTCGCCGCATGCGCGGAAACATTTCAAGGGGTGTCTCGGTGGAGCCTGCTCATTACTCGCAGCCGGACAACTGCTGCAGCTCAGAAGCATGGCATCTGGCCAGCTGTGGTGTCGTGCGCGTCCTTTTGCGACTGTGGCAGCTTGCCATGCTTTTTGGAGTTGGCTTTCTTCAAGCTCCCCTCGCCAGAATTGCGTTAGCAATCGTGGTCCGGGAAGATCACCCTGGGAAAAAAGCATGGGCGAATATGCTTGCACGATGCGCATTTGGTCGATGCGTGAGACGCGGGATGCAATCATGTATCCCATTAGCTGACTGTCATATGTGGGTCGTTGCCACATGGAGCCCAAGTCCATCACGGCTGCTGGCAGCGTCGCGCCCATGAACGAATGCGCTGTTCCGGCAAGATCCACGGCCAAGGTGAAACCACGCCGGATCACAGGCACAGCCCCGCTTGCATCCAAGTTCCAGTTCACATTCCGTGCGCGCAGTGGCAACACACCGACTCCTAGTCGTTGATCAACACACCATTTTGCGCCGGGTATTGCAACGAAAATCGCTTCTGGAAGATCCAGCAGTACCATTTCCGCGTCAGTGCAGGAGGTTACCCGTTCTGCATCCCGTGGGGAAAGTGTCCAACCGCGCATTTGCCCGCGAGTGTTCTTGTAGACGCTACCTGTGAAACCTTTTGCTGCAAAAAAAATGCTTTCCTGGGGAAAAACGTTTTTTCAGCTAAACAACATTTCTCCAACGAGCGAGCGGAAACCAGCGGGGAGAGAGCGGAATTGGGGTATCAAACATATTGAAGTACATATGGGCAGGTTTTCTGAAAGAGCGATTTTGATAATACGCCACATTCCCGAAAGAGCGATTTTGCCGGCGCCGTTGCTGGCTTGGATGCTCCAGAATTGTGCAGAAGTATAGGTACCCTGACAATTTCACTCCGGGTCTCTTCACGGGCCTAAATGCGTTCAGATACGACCTATGTAGTCAATTTCGTATATAGTACCTTGTAATGCCGATAAGCTAGATTGGCTGCTGGTCTCTTCATCTGTTCCTTATGCCTCGTGGTGTGTATACATATATACATATATATGTTCGTATATATGATATAGGATGCCTCTATATAGCCCCTTAAAACTGAGGTTTGAATCATGACATACATACGTCTACATATATGCAATGCTACATATTTATATATGCATATATACATATACTAATATGCGTCATATGTAGCCCATTATATACTTCAACATGTAGACAACCCTAAGTTCTTGTACCCATTTGCGGAAAGACTTGTCCGTTTTACTTCAGGATCCTCGGTACGTGCAATTAGTCCAGGGTTCCCGGTTCATTCCCTGCCCTTGCTTTGTGCACACCGTTCTACATAGCTCCCGATCAAACAAACACACAATGAGGAAGGGAGCCTGCTAGCAGTGGATGGGCCCATGGCATTCAATTCTTAAAGCATCTTAAAACCATAAACCGAACAAAAGCCCGTATAGAACCCCCACCACCAAAATTCATGAGAAATGAGCGAAAACCCAGAGAGCGGAATTTCGCGGCGAAAGAGCGGAAACCCGCGGCCAAAGAGCGGAAATCAGCGGAACGGGTTTTGTTTTACACACTTCCGCTTGGACATGGGTTGGGATTCTACGTGGTTCGCCTTGGACTCCATAGCTTCTGTTCCTGGCGCAGCACAATCTCGATTCCTGTGTTATGCTTGTGCTTGGTGCTGACTTTCACAGACGCTATGTTGATATGTCTTGATTGAGTGCAGAACGTGTAGCAATGAGCACAAATGCATCGCTGGCAGTTCTCGAAGCCAGACTGCCCGCAGAGTCTGGACTGTTTTCTCCCTGGCTAGGGATGGACCTGGGCGAAAACTCCGGTCATGTGCCGATCAAGCAAGAACTCAATGATGAAGAAAGGGCGATGATCGCGATGCAAGCTGAGTGCATGAGACCGTCGACTGTCAAACTAAATCCTATGTGCCTCCTGAACAACCCGCGCAGCCAAAAGCCCGATGATTTTTACCCCGATAGGATATATAGGATTTATAAAGGGTTTACAGGGTTTGTAAGCTTTTTAGGAGCTTCCTTTCAGTGGATGTGTGTGCTGCTTGCCCTGCGAGCCTGTGAGACAAGCGCTGGGAGTGAGACGAAGCAAAGGACCGCACGGTTTTTTGAAGTTTAACCTTGTTGATCCCGAATCCTATATGTATATATATATATATATATATATATATGTATATATACATATATATATATATAACCTTCTTTCCAATGAATCACAAGCACAGTAGAAAAGCGTTTTTACTTTTCAAAACACCTGCGAGAGAGCAATTTTGTTGTAGACTAGCTGCCTAACCGCAAAAAGCCGAAGCAAAAACAAGCGGAACGAGCGGAAACCCCAAAAGGAACTGCTCAAAGCATTTATTTTGCAGGCTTGGGTTTCGCAGGTATATTTGCGAAAGCAGTCCTCCGTCGCCGTTACGCGAACTGGCAAATCTTGCACTAAGGGCAGCAACCCGCTAATGCCGTTGGTGTCTGCATCATGTCTGCGCAGCCACCGCGCTCGTTCCTCGGCTGTGCGCACGCCAGCTTCTTCGCTGGCTTTGTCGCGCGCCACAACCCATAGCAGCGTTTTGCTTTCGGTTTCTGCAAATTGCCGCGCGCGTACTTGCGCCGTCAAATACTTCACAGCATTCAGGCCATGTATAAAAGGAGCCGATGCGAAAGCCTTCTCGTTCAGCTGCGGTGAAATGTCGCTGCAACCAACCACAATGCATCGTCGCCGTCGCTCGTTCCTGCACTTTGCACATTCATCCGTGCATTGCTCTTGCCACGGACGTTGCACTCGGGTTTGGCGTTCCGCTTGCCAACGCGCACGCAGCGCTGCGCACTTGGCTTTGCCGCAGCTTGTTTTTCGATCCCATGGTTGCCAGGAACCTGCGTTCAGAGTAGCTAGGCCGTGCGAGAAGCACCAGGTTTCCTCTTCTTCACACCCATGACGCGCAGACTTCAGAACGAACGACAACCAGTCGTCCTCGCATCGCTTCTCTACTGTCAGTTCCAAGTAGTCCGTCAGCGAGTCCACAGACTTGGTCCAGAACATGTTTTGCAGGTAGCGGACTACCGCCGACCCGTGCTTTAGAAAAGGGTTTTGCGTCACGGCTGAAGCACGCACTGGAGGAAATTGCCAGAAATCCCCACTAAACACCAGGTTCACACCGCCAAAAGGCCGCGGTGAGTTATCGACGCGGCAAGCCCAGCTGTGCGCTCCTTTGCGAATTGCTGATTGCATGCGGAGATGCAAAGCTCCGACAGTCTCAAGGCCGGCATTCGAAATTTCGTCTAGCATCACCCATCGTATGCGCTGGTACAGCACGAACCAGGCCGACACATCGCGCTCCTCTGGCGCTACCGTGGCCGGATCGCCAACTGCTCCATGTCGGCCCAGTTGTGCAAAAGAATGGAGCGTCCGACCGCTTAGAAGGGATGCTTGTGTGTTTTGTGGCGCTAAGAAAACGAAGTCTTGACCATGTTGCATCTCGCAAACTTCTTCCAAAAACATTCGTAGCCACTTTAAAGTCTGTGATTTGCCGGCTCCGGGCACGCCGTGCAGAAGCAAGCGCATGGGTTCGCTGCGAGCTGCGCCGTTCTTTTTGCTTTCTTTGTGTTCCTCTAAGCAGCGCTTCACAACTCGTCGCAAGACACGCATTTGTTCCGCTGTTGGAAGAAGCTTCTTCTTCCTCGGTTTCGACAGTTCTCCAAGCCAAGCTTCTGCAGACGCAATCGTCAGCTTTCCGTAATGCAGTCCTGCGCTGGCCGTCCAACCAATCGTTTCTCGCGGACGTTTTGCAGCGGGTTCGTCAGCGTCGGGCTCTACCGACCACTCCATGTGCCCACCGCGGTTCCTGGGGCCGGGCGTGAGCTGGTGCGTTCTTGCATCTCCAACGGCATCCCAAAACGCAGCGGCCGCCTCGACTGCCAGCTGGGTGCGCGAAACCTTTTTCTGCGATCTTTCCTCTGGCAACAAAACCGACTGCACGACATCGGATGTCACCCAGGCTGTGTCCACATCGTCCATTTTGTTGTTCGACCCTGGGTTTTCTTCGTCGGAGTCTCGGTCGTTGCTGCCACCCATGGCAACAGACAGCACGTTGCGAATCATGCGCGCTGCATGTTCGCTCACCACGTGACCTTCACAGTAAGCTTTCCAAGCAAGCAAATGGCTGCGTTCGTGCACTGTCTGTTTCCCTTGCAGTCGCGTGCGCGCTACAGCGGGTGCCGCCACAGGCCGATTCAAGTCCTGAACCAGCGGCACGTGCAGTGTAGCATCTGCCGCGTCAATGCACCAAGGTCGAAAAAACAAATTCAGAAGACGTGCCTGCTTCTCTAGACCACACTCGTTGTGAGGCATCTTTGTACGTGTTGGTTTGGGAACTACTGGTTTAGCACGCCGGCGCAAGATGTATCGATGTCGCAGCTGTTCCATGGGCGGCTTTGCTGGCAGTACTACGTAGCCGCCTAACGGCAACTCCGCCTGCTCGCGAACTACGAAGTGCTTACCCGGTTTTGGTTCCACTCCTTGCTCCACTTCAACTCCCGTCCATTTAGTCAAATCACCAGCTTTTGCTCTTGGAGCGTGCAGCCGTTGCAACTCCCACCACTTCACGAATTCCCAGGGACTCAAGTAGCGCACGTTTTCCTGCTGTCCACGATACGCATATAATTCCAGGATGTTCACCGCTTCCCACTGTTGCTTGCGCCCAACTTGCACATTTATTTGCCGCTCCTCGCCATTGGCCAAACTCAACAATGTGAATCCACAAAATGGTGCGCTTGCGAAATTTCGTAGGAATTCACCAGCTAATACCTCTTTGTCTGCATGACTAGCAAGTCGGAATTCTTCCGCTGCCGGGCGCACGACGCCTCCGAACTGCAAATCCGCAAAAACTCTGTTCGCAGCCTTCTGGAATTGCTGGCCAGGCTCTTTTGCGGATACCTGCTCTGTCAAATAGTGTAAGTTTTGCACCGCACGCTGCATCTGTTTCTTGCCGATTCCCTGTCCTTTTTGAATGTAGCCGGTAAAGTAGTTTGTGCATCGACTAGCGGCGCGAGCCATAGCTCTCTGCATGTGCTGCTGATTCTTTCCCAGACAGTCGCTTTTGCACTCCGGGTCGTGTGTGCGTGCAACCAGAGGAAGTCGAATGTTGGGGCATGTGTGCGTGTTGCAACGGAAAAAAAGGCCGAGAGCGGATGCAGTGCCGGAAATCCATGGACTTCGACGCTTGCTTAAAATTGATCCCAACCAGCTTCGGCGGCCGCGTACGCGCAAGCCATGCCTTTTGCAATTGCCCTTGCAAATGACTTTTGCCCGCCGCGTCAGCCGTTGGGTCTGTGGGAAGTCATGCTTGCACTGGCCCTTGCTACGCTTGCTCAAGCATGCGTTCAACGGACGTTTCAACCCGGTGCTGCGCTCAGTTATGTGCACGTGGTGTTGGCATCGACTGAACACTTCCTGCGCCGCTGCATCGTAGTCTTTCACGTATGCTGCCACATCGACCTTGGCGTCTGCGTCTCTTGCGGGCACCTCCGCATCCCGAAACAAAATATCAGGCCAAGTATCCAAGACGTCGTGCTCACAGTCTCGAAATCCATTTTGCCATGCTTGCTCCATATGCTCTTGTTGCTCCTCGTGTTGTTTTTCATGAAAGTGGGTGCATTTGTGAACCCATTCGTGGTACTCGACAACTGCTTGCGGATCGAGTAACCTGGCTTCAATCCGGCGTGCTATTTCTGGGAGTGATGCTCTGCTATAGATAGAGTTTACGTGTACATTTCCGTGGAAATGTGGTGCTCCAACATGCTGATATTCCACTGACCCTCCATACGCGGCTACAAGTCCGAAGATTCCACCCGACGGCTGCCACGTTTTGCCATTCCCGTCGATGCACTCGCAAGCATGTGTGCCGCAGCGGCTGCAGCACCGCAGACCGAGCAGGCGCGGAAGGATGTACTTCAGCGCAACATCGAACGCCAGATTCACTGCATGTGGGTCTCGCGCCGCTGTGAGTTTCCGTATATGATACGGCGGCAGCGACAACACTGCAGCACTGCCATCCGAGTCCTCGTTCCACATGCTCGGCTTCTCGGGTCCGGCCCACGGTGCTGTTTCCGGCTCCAAAATGGGATCTGTCTGCCGGTACCGACTGAGACGTGCTACCAAACCGTTGTGCACAGCACTAGGAGAAATTGTAATAAACATGGGCGAGCCGTGCTCTATGCGCGTGCCTTGCAGACAGTGGCCGATCTGACGCCTGATCTCCTTGGTTCCGGGTAGTTTCTGTGCGCGCAACTGCATGTTGCGCAATAAATGCCTTTCCATGAACGAAAGGTTGCGGCAGAGGCCTAGTTTCGTTGTGTCGTAATTCACGCGGCGCTCCCTGTTGCCGTCGTGCCACTTCCCCTTTTGCAACCGACGGTATAGATCACGAACGCCTTGCACCACATCCTTTGCGTGCGTTGCCTGGGCTGCAACACTCTTCGGCAGTTTTACCTGCAGGTCCGCCTGACAAACGGCAGACCAGAATGTAGTAATGCGTCGTGTAGCAGGTACCATGTGCCAGTCGCTCCGGATGTTCCCTTCGACACGACCCGACAGCAGACTGGTAAACGCGGCAGGCGTGAGAACAGCAGCTGTATCCACACGTCGATACCGCGACTTTAAAGGAAAATCCGGCCCCGACACAGCTCGCGCTAGTGCCCAGGGAAACGCACAAGAAAAAGATCGCGGCTGCCACTGATCGACAAAACGGCTGTCTGTCTTTACTGTCAAACTTTGCTGACGTCCCAATGTTGCTACTGCCTGTTCCGCTACCGCTCCTCGGACTGCAGTACTTCGGTCGGCACCAGCCACGTCAGGACGCATCGCAGACATAAACATGGCTCCGTTCCAAGACACTTCCGCGTTGCTCTCACCAATCGTGTCTCCTCCAGGCAACGGCGTTGCGTTCTTTTCCTGCAAATCCGACTTCGGCTCGGCTTCCAGAAGTTCCTCCAGCTTTGCCCGTACAGCAGCGGGAATGCTACCTTTTCGTTGCATCAACGGCACTTCCGCTTCTTCTTCTGGATACATGTTTTCCAATCGCACTCGAAGTTTCGCAAGAAGTTCTTCTCGATTGTCGTCGTGCAATAACGGATGCCCTACGGCAACCAAATGGCTCAGGAGCAGGAGCACGACAGCTGGCCGAATGCGTGCGCACGGCAGCCAATCAAAAACTTCCTTTCGCTTCTGCACCTTCAGCTGAAACTGTATCATGCGTGCCAGAATGTCGGGGCTATGAGGTAAGTACTCCGCAGGGTGACGTGCTTCGTTCTGAAGTAGTTGTTCCGCTATGGCCGCCCACGGCATCTCAAAAGCAGTAACATTGCCGCGGATGGCCACCGGGTGTTCTGCCCGCCCAACTTCTGCTTCGAGTAAATGGCCATAATCCGATTCGACATATAGAACGATACCATAGCACAGTACAGCGGTGCCGCGGCCGCCGCTTCAATGAAGCGCACGCGCAGCGCATATAGAAATGCCGGTGCAAAACCAAAATGGTTATCGTTAGCAAGAGCCTGTGGGCAGGCGGCTGTCCAAGCTCGCGCGAAGCAGTCTTGACAAATGGCTACTTCGCAATGCTCGCACCAGTCCACGCTGTTGTGCTTCTCTCCGTTACAGCGCTCGTCTTCCGGACAACAAACCACTTCTTGCCCGGCGTACGGTCCGTGCAACAGCCGCCGACGCCACAAACTTCCAGTGATGCACTCAGCCCCCTTCAGCGGCCCCTGAGCCGCATATCGCTGCACGTAAGTGTCCCAGCTCCAGTTCTCTTCAAATGCCTTTGCGTGCATGCCTCCAAATAACTCTTTCACGCTGATATATGCGCTCGTAGACGCTCTTCCCGCGCCTGCCAAACATACCCGGGCGCAACCGCAGCACACCAGCGCCCGCACTGCAAACTGTGCCTGCTCACATGCTATCGACTGAAAAGTGCGGCGATCCACAGAATAGCCGGCAGCTGGCACGTTCTGTGCTTCTGCTTCTGCCAGCCCTTCCATGTACAGCGTGCACATCTGCACTGCGTCGGCGCCGTGCGCCAAAGATTGGGAGTGTTCGGTCAGCAGGTGTTGCCACAGACACTGCTTGCTGTCGCAGCAGCTGCTCCTCTTGCCTGCTTGCCATCGCCAGGATCCAGAGCTAGCGCACCAGCCAGCACCCCGTGAAAATATGTTCGTGCACGGTTCAACTTCGGATATCCAGTTGCAGTTTCTGAACGCACAGTGGCATAGTGGCAACTTTACTCCAGCAGAAACCACGGCGTTGTCTTTTGGCAACAACGGCCGACGGCGCAACTCGGCCGCTACGCACTTTGCTGCCCTGATGCTCGCGTCCTCCGGCGTGGTCCAGGTTCGCTGAGGCTCTACCGCAACCGCGTCAATTTCAACTTGTCTTCGTTGCAGACATGTTTCGGCTGATGAACTCGACTCTGATTCCGAACCCACTGATGACTCCACATCCATTGACGCTTCCGACAACTCCTTATCCGTAACATGTCCACTAACTACGTCCCCTCTTGCGTTTGCACAACTGTCGCCAGTGATGCGGGAACTTTTTGTTTCTTCTGCAGCTGGGCATGCTTCTTCCGCTTCGGAGCTTGCATCTCCGACTTGCGATGCTTCTCTTGCCTCGGAGCCTGCATTTCCTGCCTCTGACGAAATGTTTTCCAAACAGTCCTCATGCAACAAGGCATCGTAATGGTATCCTCCCACGTCATTGCCCGACCAACAGTACACTTCCAAATAAATGCTTCGGGGCTCCTGCTCGGAGCCGGCTGCTTCTCTTAGAACTAGCTCTTCTGGCTGAAGTTGCTCATGGTCAAACCTTGTGAACACGCGCAAGCGAATAGCTTGATCCGCCTGCAGGTCCACGCCCCAGTTCTCCAACATGAATTGCACTGCCGGAGCTGCGTGCAAGTGACTTTGCAAATATGCCGCATTGTGCTCCTCGACCGACGCATTGCAAATGCTGCCGCTGATTGTGCGCGAGCGTGGTCTCCACCGTTCGTCCGGATGATGTATCAGAAATTCACGGCACGCAGTACAAACAGCCGCTCTGCCGCTCTGCTTTCCAGCGCCTGCCTGCTCAAGAGACCGCTGCTGCACAAGGATTGCACAAGACTGTCCAGGAGACATTGTTGCCTTCGCCCGATGCGCGAGCCAAACGGCGCCCGCTGCGATGCAGCTCGGCTAGGCGACTCTCGTCGCTTGCCAGCTCGCATGCTTCCGGCAATGCTTCCAAAGAAGCAGTAATCTGCAGCAAACGTCTCGCGACATCTTCACATTCCCACGCGCATTCTTGGTTTAAATCTTTCCAGACGTGCCATTCTGCAATCCACGCTTGCCCCAAAACTTTGCGCACTGCATCTGCGGACTGTAAAATTGACAGCAGAAGTGCCCGAATGATGTCAGGGCACGTGTTCTCCATGGCCCGTCGGCACCCATGCTCGATGCTGGCTTCCTGCTATACCGATGTCGCGAAGTTTTGCAGCTGTGCTCCCACTACATGCATATGTTTCCCGACCTTGCGCATGCTGCACTTTTTTCAAGATGCAGATCCTTGCCTAGCTACTTACACTTCCATCCTGGAGCCACACCGGCGTCAGCGCCGTCGATTTCACTTGCTGCTACTGCTTCTCACCGACCTCGAAACCTACTTCTACATCGTGCGGTTTGCACGACTACTCGTGCCGACCTCCTGCAATGCAGCCGAAAACGACATCGGCCTCCAACGAAGACCTGGCTGCGATGTGGCAGCTGCAACAACGGAACCGCAACTGCAAAGCACTCTGCATTTGCGGACTGTAAAATTGACAGCAGAAGTGACCGAATGATGTCAGGGCACGTGTTCTCCATGGCCCGTCGGCACCTATGCTCGATGCTGGCTTCCTGCTATACCGATGTCGCGAAGTTTTGCAGCTGTGCTCCCACTACATGCATATGTTTCGCGACCTTGCGCATGCTGCACTTTTTGCAAGATGCAGATCCTTGCCTAGCTACTTACACTTCCATCCTGGAGCCACACCGGCGTGACCGCCGTCGATTTCGCTTGCTGCTACTGCTTCTCGCCGACCTCGAAACCTACTTCTACATCGTGCGGTTTGCACGACTACTCGTGCCGACCTCTTGCAATGCAGCCGAAAACGACATCGGCCTCCAACGAGGACTTGGCTGCGATGTGGCAGCTGCAACAACGGAACCGCAACTGCAAAGCATCCCCGCTGCCCCTACTTCCGTTAGTTTGCTGCCAAGCGCCTGCCACTATTACGTAGCTCAAGCAATCAAGCAAGGACTAGCTTACGCACCTCAGTCGACTTTCACTCTCAACCTGCCCACCCAGTCCTGCTGGCAAGCCTGCGACACGCATGTCGCATCTACCACAATGAACAGCAGCAGCTTCCGAACGATGTTTTGCTATTCCTCCAAAACGCAACCTATGGCTTCCGCACGTGCTTCAGTGCTTCTACTTCCTAGGATCAAAACTATACGCCGCTTCGGGTATGCCTCAGATTTAATGCGTCTTGCAAAGCGTGCCTGTGCTCTTCCACAATTCGAACCACGCTGTCGAAACATGCACGTCACCAGGGACGCATCGACTCCCTGCCATGTCTTCTAGCAAAAAACATACTTACTTGCACTCACACGGTCCAACTAGTATGGTCACGCACGAAGCAACACGAACAATCCCACGAATTCGACATGGTTGGCTTGCTTTAAGCTAGCACTTCTTCTTTGAGCATGCGACTCTCGAATATGCCAACACCTAGAAACACAGATGCGACCACCAATCCAGGCATGGACAGGGGGG